AATCTGTAGATTGCCTTGAGCTGTGTGAACATTTTAACAATATTGATTCTTCCAATCCAAGAGCATGGGATATCTTTCCATTTTTTAAAGTTTTCTTTAATTTCCTTCATCATTGGTTTATAGTTTTCTGTGTATAATTCTTGGTTACTTCCTTGGTTAGATTTATTCCCAGATATTTTATTACTTTGGGTGCTATTTTAAAGGGGATTGTTTCTTTACTTTCTTTTTCTGTTGATTCGTTAGTGTAAAGAAATGCAACTGATTTTTGAACGTTAATCTTGTAACCTGCTACCTTGCTGAATTTTTCAATCAGCTCTAGTAGTTTTTGTGTGGACCTTTTAGGGTTTTCTATATATAGTAACATGTTGTCAGCATATAGTGACACTTTTACCTTTTCTTTTCCAATTTGGATCCCTTTTATTTCTCTCTCTTGCCTAATTGCTGTGGCTAGGACTTCCAGGACTATGTTGAATAGGAGTGGTGATAGTGGGCATCCTTGTCTTGCCCCAGATTTTAGTGGGAAGGTTTTGAGTTTTTCACCGTTGAGTACTATGCTGGCTGTATCAATTAAAGCTTTTTAATTTGCCTTGATCCTTTTTCTGATCTTCCAGTTTTTCTTCCTTTTTATAATATACTATAATCTCTTATCAGTGTAATATATTATGCAGTGTTGTTATAATAACAAAATTTGTTTTATATTAGTACAATTGATTCTTCTAATCATATTAGCTTATTCCAGTATCAATTTAAGTCTTAATTTTACTGTGTAAATAAGATCAAGTAGTTTTCTAGTATTTTGCTACCCTATATTGTTATCTGAGAAAAGCATGTAAATACAGGTTTTAGTATTAAATCCTTTTTTGACTTATTGGTAAAAATTATACTTTATTTTATATGATTGTTTGTAGTGTTTTCATTTTGTACATACAGACAATCTTAGTGTAGGACTCTCAATTTCTAAGAAGTGTTTAAATAATACAAATCCATTCCTTCATTCCTATAGTGTTTAAAACTTCCAAAATCCAACTGAGGATAGAATGTTTAAAATAATCAGAGTGTATGAAAAGAAAATGTTATTTTAATTGTCAATAATTTTCAGAAAAATCAGTCATTCCATGTTTATTTTATCTAGAAAGTTTAAGTCAAAACTTTTTGTTTTTATTAATATGTTTTTCTGGTTTTCAAGGTGTTCACAAAAGCAAATTTATATATAACAGTTTTACCAATATTAGCATATTTCATTTTAAGACTTTTGTTTTGAAATCCAATGGTTTACCATACATTCTCATTAAGTTGTAACTATTTAGTTTTGGTGTAGAATTTCAACGTCTTTTACGGACTTAAATATATGGTTGCTCAAGTAATAACCTCACATAGCTCCATCTAAAACTTCAGCATCAGTATATAATTTAAAATTAAAGTAAAACATTAAATTTCCAGATTTTATTCTATGATCATATTTTTATTGACCTTTTAAGATATAAAGGGTACCTGTTAAGAAATTCCCCATTTTACAGTAAATACTTCAGAAGAACAGCAAGATTCATGTATGAGTCTTCTAGCAAGAAGACTGGAAATCATTTGTGCAAATCCAACCACCTAGACCCTAATCTTAAGGATACATGGTTTTTCTATCCCACGGCCAGCAGCTTGTTTTTATCTGTGCATATTTATGTTTCCCTCTATATAGTTTAATTCACAAAGTATTTTTCAGCTTTGTAAACCATGTCTTTCCACTAAAAAAACCTCCAACGTAGTCAAACTATTTTTCAATAAAACATTCTGACTAAATTTTTCATGTTTTGCTCAAATGTTATGCTTTGTTAATATTTTTTTGCTGATGGGGGGAGGAGGATACTAGTGGCCTTTGGGTTGTTTTAAATCTCTCCCAGAGTATTTTCTTAGAGAAACTTAGATTTTACAACACCTCCCGTATTTCTTTGAAAAAGGCAATTATGAGTTTGGTCTTTCTTTTATAAACTTCATCTTCCCACAGATATCTTGATTCCATCTGGAATTCTGTTTCGAACAGATATTCTAGGATGTCATGGTCTGAGGATTCATCAATGAAAATCATCAGTTTTGGGTTTGTCCATGGTATGAAAGGTGCTCTATTTCATTTGCAAGTAGAGAAAAGTAAACTAAGACCATGATGAGACATTGATTTACAATTGAGAAATCAGACAAATCCTATAACAAGGATCTGAGAAGTGGTTCAAAGGAAACTCTGCTACATACAGCTATTAGGATTTTAAAAATGGGTGCCTCTGCTGTGGGAAATATGTTTGTATTTTCTTATAAATTAGATCATTTTCATACCTTATTGCATAGCAGTTCAACCCCGAGATGCATAGCTACATGAAAAATGACCAGATATACGTGTGGCTGGAACTTAGTGAGGGAGGAAAGTTTGAACTCTGCCACACAGAAAATTCCTTTCATTAACACCAACAAATAAGGCTGCTTTTGAAGCAGCAGTATGTTTTGAGTTGACACTGAACATGAATTAAATGTTATGTATCTGCAAATTTCCTAGTAAGTATAATTAATGAACTGGAGCAGAGTGTAAGTATGAGGCAATGAGAACTGGAGGGCCAGCAAGGAAAGCAAAGACCCAGAGAGTTAATTGCCCTTAGGTTTGGAAATGATGATTCGAAGGGTCAGAAGTTCTTTCAAAATGAATTTTGAACTGGGAGGAAAGATGACATTCATTTTTATTGAAACTTTTGAAGATGTAAAATTAGATCTTCATAAATGCATAGGATGTAAGAAACACGAACGGAAAAGGAATACCAAGAGGCACTCTATTCGTGAATGGAGGGAAAGGAACATGAGCTAGCACCAAGGCTGCTTTTGACATTCCTGATGTACAATGGAAAGCTGCTTTGACCGAACACTGTCAGTTTTCTTTGTTACTTATAAAAAGAGGCAAACCACTGCTTGCAGTGTATTTAAAAATTGTTTATTTACAGAGAGCAAAATTAAGTTGTAATCTAGAAGTCAGACAAGGTTGAGGATGAAGAGCTTTACTAGGCGATCTATTTGACTATCAAACTGTAGTAATCTGCAACCTAGAGATTGATACCATATAATCACCGATGAATGACTGAACATTAAACTCCCCGGTATCATAAATCAGTTTTTAGGCCACAGGTCTCAGTCAGATGTGGTTTTAATCTGAATTTAGAGACTGAGCTTAATAGTGTGTGAAGAAAAGTGAAGACAAACCCTTTTTCACAGGAGCATATTATATTTCCTCGGTACAATATGAAAATGATGCTTCTCCTTTATACCTAAAGAATGTGGTTTCTCTCAAAGAAAATTAAAGTTAATATTAACAAGCAAATATATTATCTTCATTCAAATAACAACCAGAGGAATAATATGTGTGGGAATTTTAGGAAAAGAGAACAGCTTAAACTCCTTAATTTACCACTTAACATTTCTTTGTATTCTGAGAATTGAATTAGCAGTTTCAACCCTCATTCAAGACTTTAAAAAAAATCACCAAAATAATAAGCTTTCAAGACTTTTAGCAGTAATAATAGATGCCAGAGTTAATGGAACAATATCAAAGTTTTGCGGGAATATAAATTAGAAGCCTAGCATTCTATTCATACTTAGTCAAACAAGTGGAATCAAAATTTCATAAATTTCTTAGCAAAGCAAAAATCCTTAAGTTTTCCAAAATACATATATATGACATATATTATTTATATTATATATACATATATATGTATACAAAAACTTTTCTAATATACTTAAGAAAGGCTTGAGAAAGAACAACCAACCAGAAGAGAGAGAGAAATTAGAAAACAGACGAAATAAAATGGGAACACTGAATATGAACTAGAAAAACTGAAACAAACTAGATAAAAGTAGGAGTCACCATGTAAAAGTAAAAAAAAAACACACACAGAAGTCCAGTTGTTTATCAGCACGGCTACTCATTAGCATTGAACATGGAGCTTTGGAGGAAAAAAGTAATACCTGGGCAATTGTATTTTTCAAAAACTTCCAAGATAATGCTCATGTTTCAAAAACCTTGAGGAGTTGGATTAATGTGAATGTTACAACAGATGAGGTAGAACCTTAAGTCAAGTAAAATGAGGTGGGTTTTTCTGGGGGTTAGTCATGTTACTGGCATATATTCCATATTCTCTGTTATCTTTTCACCTCTTCTGCTTATTTAACATGGAAGACAATCAACATTAGTAGACGTTTTGAGAAAAAAAAACCATGCAACTTTGTTTTATCCTTTTATATTCTCATGTCAGCCTTCTTTTCTCAAACTGAGTTGGTTTCCACTTTTGTGGAAACATTTTCACAAAGTTCTTTTGCCCTTTTTCCAAGAAGAGAATCCTGTTTAGACTTCTTTAGAGACTCTCTTTATGCACAAGCCTCACACCCTGGTATCATCTCTATAATACAAATCAATTTCTAGTGACAGTTCTATGACTAAGCTGCCAGCCTGCCTTACTGCATCTATTTACAAGGATAATACACAACTTAAAGTCCGTTCATTAATAGACAAACTTCACATTTTCTCTAATATAGAGTCATTTTCTAAGTTTAACAAGTTACTAGCTTGTGGGAAAAAAAAGAGCTTCAATTTTTTCATGTTTTAAATAGCCAATTAAAATTTTTTCTGTACTTTTGACCATACAGATTATAATAGTACATAGAGCAGTGATTTTTTTTTAACATGTAATGGACACACACATCATCTGCAGACATTGCTAAACTGAAGATTTTGATTCTGTAAGTCTGGGTGGGCATGATATTCTACATTTCTACCAAGCTCCCAAGTGATATCAGTGGAGCTGGCTTGCAGGTGGTACTTCAAGTGGCAAGGGGCTAGACAGTAGCAGAAAAATGAGGTAAGTAACCTGGGTCCCAAAAGAGTGAAATTATTTCACTGTCATGGACCACTCATCTGAAAATTGTTAAGTGAAAGAGAAATTAATTTATATATATTTAAACCACCACTTCTTTTTTTCATTCTCCTTGCCATAGCTATTAGAATCCACCTTAACTAACACACGTGGCTTCAATCCCCAAGTTTCTTCATGATCCAAGATGGCAGCTGAAATGCTAGTCATCATATCTATATTCTATATTGGCAGCAGGAGACAATGAAGCCAAAGCGGGTGCCTTTTTTGTTTCCAAGGTGGCTTCCTAGAAGTCACACACAATACTCTGTATATTATTGTCCAGAGCATTTACTTATTTGAAAGAGAGGCTGAGAAATTTAGTTTTGATTCTGATCAACTATGGTTTTATTATAAATAGAGTAAACACAAAGTTTATTCTAGTACCAGCATATATTGATAGTGAAACTATGAAGAATTATCCTGGAACAACAGATTTAATGCAACTCTGCTTAGGCAGACTGGAATACATGCACATTCTTCTTACAAAGTAGAAAAGAAAGAACGTTAGAATAGAAAACTAGTAATTGCTATCATATAGTATTCCCCAAGAATCACTTGGAAAGAAAATGTGAAAAGAATGTAACATGACATACAAACCACACACCTTAATGTAGCTTTCTTTAAAATGCTGGCTTAACTCCTAGAGGGATTCGTTATACATTTTACTTAAGTCCCTTTTTGAGTGCAAAGCCTCTTTTGAATGATCAAAGATTAAGTATATAGTAGGGCAGACCCTTAGAGGAACCATACTTTTTATAACTGAGAAATGATGTTACAGAAAACTGGGGCTAATTCCAGGAAGTGCTACTTATTCGTGGTTGGGGAGCATTCCTGAGATGCTGCCAGAATGGCAAGCACTGGAGTCTGAAATATGACAGAGGCTGGTGATGTGCTAAAAGCCCAGCCTGTGAGATTATCTGAGTCCTTTAAAAGCATAGCCCTATAATGACTGAGTCAAGATATCCAAATATTCATGGGCAGGGAGGATCCAGGAGGCTATAAAGCAGTAAAGCATGGATATCTACCAAAAACCCTGAAAACTTACGTCTAACTATATCATGTTGCTGGAGACTGAAGAGCAGGCGTCTCTGACCAAAGAGCTTTGGACACCCAAATAGGCTGGGCTTATATTTAAGTGAAGTCTTCACTCTGAACTTAAGCTGACGCAATATGACTATTCTCCAGTTTTTTTTTGCTAGTTATTTAAGCTACTTGGGCACATGGAAGAGACAGACTAGCCCTCACATTTTAGAGGAGACTACATGTAAATTGGAAGAAGGCGTACGGGTAGTTATGATACCGACACTGACAAGCAGTGAAGGAGAGGAGAAAATTTAAGAGCTAGCGCTTTAAAGGCATGCCAGCTGGGTTTGGGGAACTTGAGTTATGGATGCTTTCCTATGCTGGCTGAAAAAGTAAGAGAAACTGAGTAAACCAAAAAGCGAGCACCACATTAACCTCTTAACATTATGATTCCTAAAGCAAAGTCAGGGAAATACAAGGAATCATCTCTGGTATCTTAGACGGCTGAAGGCATTGAAAATATGTTGCAAACTGCAAATGTTCTGAAAATGGGGGGGACTTTTCCTCTGTCTTCCTGGAATAGTTTCACTTCAGATCATTCCTTTGATGGTTTTTCATTCCCTTCAGAACAGGCAGGGTCCTGGGTGGAGGTGGAGATAGGGGCAAATAAAGAAGGATTTTGAAGAACAGTCAATCCAGATAGTGCATTATACATTCCAATAATTCTAGACAAACACATAGACTATATCATATTGTAAAAGGGCTGTTCTTTGTGGCTTGTTTGTCTAAAACTATTCATAAATGGTTTATGTGAATCATTGGACAAGCATTTCTGAAAGGGGAAGGAGCGAGAACTGGGTTCAGCTGAAAGTAAGTACCACATCTGTATTCTGACCAGATTCAAGAGACCCGCAGTGAGGCACAGCACAGAACAGATTCAAATTCTTCAGTCAGCATGCCTACACCAGACACTTTACATGCTTTTCCTTTTCATGTTATATATGCAGTCTTTAGATTAAGACAAAGACCAAGCAGAAGCTGAAGGTATTTGTCCCTGGTTCTACCCTGAGGTTGTATGCACTAGATCCTGCCTTTAACACTTCCTAAATGAAAACCTGAGAGCTTTCATTTCTGCAAAGAAAAAATGAGAAGAAAGTCTAAGCCAAGAATACTATTTATTTCCTCCATGAAAGGGATGTGGCCTGAGTTTAGAATATATACAATAAGATTTATAATTGAATGATGCCCTGCATTTTTTGAGAAGTCAGATATGATTGTGTGGTCTGAAACCATGAACTTATAAGAACATATTGAATATTTGATAATTAATGGTGTAATCTCTGTATCCTACTCCTATCTCTATGGTAGTTATTAATAAATCAGACAAAATGAAAAGAGGTAATTGAGTGGCTATATGAAATAGATTTGGATTGTTACACTGATTTTAGATTGTCCTATGCAATTTACCAGGGAATCAGTGATTTATGTACATCTGTGATGAAGGAATGTTATGAAAGACTTGTCACTGCTCTAGCACATTCTGAATTGCTTTCTTTTGGATCCCAAGTTACTTCCTGGTCCTTGCTACATTTTAGCATTTCTTACACAAATCTACCTGGAGATATAATTTATCAAGATCTATTTGTTTATTTAAAATACATAAATATCTGTAAGTAAACTACACTTTAATAAAATATAAAATTAAAAATTTAATAGAATACATAAATTTGCTAGGAGAGACTCTGGAAGAACATGGGGAAAGAACATGGTAAAATAATACCAGGTCAAGAAGGCCTCACATTACTATTTGATGTCAGGACTACACAAAATACCCTGGCCACTTAACATCTTCACACAAGGTAAGAACTGAAAAAGAAAATCAGCTATAATTAATTGATATCCTCATGGTAAGAACAGTAAATTACAAAACTTCTTGGGGTTAGAAGTTTCCACAGGATATTTGCCCGGGATTATCCTCTGGTGGATAAACTACTAAAACACCTTCCTCGAAGGCAGTACGTTTGTTACCCTTAAAATGTAACAGGATTACAGGAACAGCCCACTTCTCACAATCTTTTGAGAAGTACTGGTGAGGAGACCTAGGAGAATGAGTAGTACCCCTGACTTATTTGTCTTATTTGTATCTAATGAACTCTTTTGTATCCATACACTCATAATGGCCTAGGGTTGTAGTAACCATATCATGACAAGGAGGCTACTAGCTCTGTTGAACAGTGAGTTTAAAAAATAACTTGAATCTCAAATTAGAATTCCCAGGATCTGTTGATAGGATGTGGGGAAAGATGTTTGGAGGTTGTTTGAAGTAAAGCCTAAGAATAATCCAATGACAAAGGTGTTATAAATCAATTTAGTTACTCTCCACTGCTGGGCAAGTGTTGTTTCAGGTTTATTATAGCACAGCTCTCAGCAATGAGGATATTAATTCTCTTTTATAAATGGACCCATTTGCATGCCATGCAAATGATTCCATATTAGGGGGAAAGAATAATTTGGTACTGGAAAGGTGAGGAGTGAAATATGAAGCCAAGAGAGTTTTGCTTAATCACTGCCTCTTTGTCCTCACTCCAGGCTAGCAGTAAAGTCAGTTACCTCAGTTGGATGGAAAAAGAAAAAGCAGATAGATGCATAATGCAGAAATTTTGAGGTGGGGGGGTGAAATTAAAAGAAAAAAATAACACAAAAGAATATTTGGGCCAAAGAGTTAGAACATTCTCCAAAGACAATTAAATTTTGCCAAATTACAAAGCAAACAGAGCTCACTAATGGGGTGATATGCTAATTAGTCACCTACAGTTCGTCTCACTAATGGAGTGCTATATTAATTTGCAACTGCAAAAACAGAGGAAATAATTGAAGTTTCCCAGTGAATACCAATGCCTGGTTTTGAGAGCATCACATAGTCAATTCAATCTTATTAGAGAAGAAATGGTTCTAAAACTGATATGGATCCAATTTATCTGATCCCAGACGGCATAAGAAGTCATACTTAAATTTGAAACTCTTTTCTGCAGTAATGGCTCCCCTAGATGCTATGTACAAGCTCCTGGAATTAGAATACATGGAAAACTTGTCCTTAGCACATCATAGTTAGAATATAGGAAATACTGTGTTGATATTCAATCATTTCCCCTTATACTCAGGCTTAACTAATCCGGAGCAAAATCCTGTAGCAGGTGCCTACTTCAGAAACAGAGAACGCACATCACATTTTTACACAATCTCTAATGCCACCAGAAATGAAGTCACTGATGTTTTAACTTGTTCCTTGTATTTTGAAAAGGAAAGAGAAGAGAAACTTAATCTTATCTGCCCATTGATCTCCTCTTGCAGACAGATGTGTACAGGAAGTGAGCTGAAACAATGAGAAGAAATTTTAGGGAAAAATTCTAGGAATTCAATAAGTGAAAGTTGCTGAATTAAACAAGTTCTAGAACCCTTAGCTAGGAGAATGCTTAGTGATGCCTCATTGCTTAGAACTTTGAGATTTTACTAAATGTTTTAAAGTAATTCTAGAGAACAGATTATCCAATAAAAAGCACTATCTATAAATTCTGTTTTTGTTGTTGTTGTTACTTAATATTTTCATCATTTTTATTCAAAATTTATCAGGAATTCTTCACATGCAGATATTGATGCATTATTTTTTTCAATATTTAATTCATTTCCCTATGTAAAAGAATCTGCAGAGAAAGAAAATTGTATGTGTGTTTGTACATGTATGAATAGTTATATAAATATATATGCATATATAAATGTATATATATACACACTAAATTCTAATATCTAGTTCTGAAAAACACAATATTTTAACTCTTTTAAAAGGGTATACTTGTGGATCCTCTAAAATATAAATTTTATTTCAAGGGCATTTTATTTTTTGCATGATTTACTATTTTAATGTTGTAATTGAAAATATACAATAGAGCAATGTACTTTCTTTACACAGTGATTCTGCAGAACAATATATCAAAGTACTAAGAAATGGTACGCTTGTAAGATAAAATAAAGTAAGAAATCTTGTTTTGTTTTATATTTCTGTAATTGTGGCAGAAGTTTTGTTCTTTCAAATCTCCATCTTCTTTCTTTATTTCATGTTAAATCTTTGGGTAACTGGCACAGCTAAGTGTAGGAAAACAAAATTTGTTACTCCAAATCGTATCTCTTTACCATGATGATTAATTTAGGCTAATCATTTTTAAGGCCCAAAAAACTCTGATCTTCTCCCTAAATGCCTAGAAGAATGTACAAAGAGGAGCTATTCCAGGTAGGGAACTATCACTAGGGATAACTAGTTCATATATAGTAGGAAGTAGGTGTGGTAGACAGGGAGGAACCTAGCAAAGACTGTCTTTTTTAAAATGCCTCTCTGTCTCTTGTCTTTGCAC